ATCTCCTCATTTCTTCCATTTGCTTTAGCATCTCTACACTGAAGATGACGTTTCAGTGTCTCTTCTGACATCCATTTTGACCTTTTCCTTCTTTCTTGTCTTCTTAATGACTTTGCTTTCATCATGTATAATGTTCTTGAATAAAGTTTTCTAATCCATCTGTCAATTCATCCCTCTCAACACTGGGAAAATGAAATTCCCATCTCTCATTATTTCCATTCATCTATTGCTGAATGCACTATTATTAATAAATGGATTCTCTCACTGTTTAAAGTTAAAAACCACAATCATTAAAGAGGTTAAAGAAAGCCATGTGTGAGTATCTGTTCTGTTTTCCAGTTGGAATAGATGAGTGGCCATAGAAGTTAAGGAGGACTGAGTGTTGGTGTCTGGGAAATGGCTCTTGAGTCGTCTGTGGTAGCTGATTATCCAGACCACTGTGCCCTCTCTGTATTCACAAAGTTTGACTCTGGTGGGTGCAGAATGAACGTGGGGCAGCAACATAAGAAGGGAATACTACTCACAAGATTACAAATAGTAATAGGTGAGCCTATGTTCCTGCCTTTGTGCCAAATTCCAGATGCATATTAGATAGTTTAATCCTCGTAGCAGCTCTGTCAGGTAGATGATTCTAGGCTTCTTTGACAGGTGAGGAAATAATAGGCTCGTACTAAGAAGCTTCCCCTAATTCACACAAAGAGTAGGAGCTAGGGCAAGGATTGAGACCTGATTCAAAAACCTTCTTCCTGATTGCTAATTTAAACTGCCTGTAATGTGCGCCTGGGGAGGAAGATATATGCACATATTTGGGCATAAGTGTTCATTTACAAGATAGGGGAAGCATTTGGCATAATCCCACACTGTCCACTCTGGTAGAATCCTCAGGTGCATTGCGACTTTCTGTTTTATGTGACAGAGAGAAAGCACAGCCAAGAGTTAAGCAGCGACTGGAATGCTGACCTGAGGCCACCATAGATATCTGTCACGATGCATACATATGTGGTACATCATTACAACATACTGGAGCAAAGCCAGATGTACTTAGCTCTAATGAGCCAGCAGCGTAAAGGGTGTTTCATTCATAGTTTGCCATTTGTATGTGACTCGTTTGGGGTAGATTTGTTTTATTAAATTTGCTTGCTTAGTCAGACCAGAGGAGTAATAAATGGCTCTGTCCCAAGAGCAAAGAGCAAAGTGAATTTATCCATAGAGGAAATTATTAGTTCATTCTAAAAGAAAAGCTTTTAAATTCACTTAAAATTATAACCTTAGACATGCTGACACCTTTTCTTTTCTTTGCCTGAATTCACTTAGAACGTATGCCATCAGGAGGATAAGAGATGCCTTCAGAGAAAATAAAAATGTAAAAGATCCTGTAGAAATTCAGACCCTAGTGAATAAAGCCAAAAGAGACCTGGAAATAATTCGTCGACAGGTAAGATAGTGCACTGATTTTCTCTTCATTTCATTAAGAGCTTTAAGCTTTGACATGACCCCATTGATTAGACATCTCTGCTTTTGGTGTTGCTGATTTACACTATGAGATCTTGAAACTCTATTCTCTTATTCATAGAGACATAGAAAGGTGACCCATCGTATTATTGAATTCAAGTTGGATGAAAATATCAGCTCTCCAGAATTTTCCAGGGATACATCAATTTTGGAAAGCTGGTTCTTTCTCATCATTTACTGAAAGATTGATGTTTTTGGTAAAACATTAACGTGGCTTTTTTAAAGTCTAAATATTTTTAAGTTGTATTTCACATTTACACATGGATCATTGCAGAGGATTTAAATATAGTCTACTTTTTTCTAGCTTTTAAAATTCATTATTTATTAGAACTAGAATGTTTTGACCTTTTTTTTTTGATCAGGCCATTATTATGGTGAGCTCAGGTAATGTTGCCATCGGGAATGGGTATCTGCAGGGACCAATGTTGTAACACATGGCTGCTGAGTTACTAACCCCAGAAAGGACCCACCCTGAAAGGTACTTTTCATTTTGATTTTATAGCTGTGTTGGGGATTGCTTTGGTTTAGGGTAGCTCTTCTCTTTCTCATGAGGTGGAGTGGAGCATTTGCAGGGCCTCCTGGGTAGTGTGATGTTTCCATCTTCCTGAAAATTTAATTAGGGAGTCAAAGTCTAAAGCCATCTTTGATCGGTTGGTTTTCTCAACCTTTAGAAAAATCACCCATTTCACCATTGTTCTTTGACTTAGCTCCATTTCTGCCCCCATTGGCTTATTCCTCTTACTTGCTGTAAATGTGTTTATCTAAAGTATGGAGGGAGAGAGCCCTTAACTGATTTCTGCAAGTGTTTTGGAGAGGTGTCTGTAAAAGCAGCACCAGGGTGTCGTAGTTTCGCTAGCCTTTTTCCTCCTTCATGCCTGACTGTACATAGAATTCAAAAAAGAAGCAATATTTTAAATTGTACTTTTCATTTTATCTCGAGATTAAAAATCCTGCTACATAGCCTGCTGGCTGGAATTGTGTCTTCTCTAGTTACGTTTCAGAATCTGGTAACCCTCATTGAGCTCCCGACCTACCAGTAGAGTCACTTTACACCATTCAGACAGGTGACTAAAGGCATGAGAAGGTCATTAGAGAGTCGGGGAAAGAAGCACATGCCATGCACTGACAGTGACAAATGAGCCAGCATTGTCAAACCCTCAGGTTTCCATTTTGTAGTGGTTGGGTACTGTGGGGTCCTGCAGCACTGAAACTTGGAAAACAAAGCATCCCAAGACTTTATTTTGCTAAAATTCAAAAAGATCATTTCACTGGCACCTTCCTAGATAAAAGTTGGTAAGCAGCTTCACTCTAAGCTAGTGTTCTCTTTCTTATAAAACTGTTCAACATATAAACTGCTTAGAAAAGAGAGTTTGTACGTATTCTGTGCCTGGTGACTTCTGCTTGGTCTAGTTGTCTCTGTAACGTCTGGCTTGAAATGCTAAAACTACCTTTTTAGAAAAAAGACTTGATATAGCCCTCATTAGACATCCCACTTATTGTTTGTTAGTGATCATCAGATCAGCCCTGCTCTTGGCACTCCCATTCCCAACAGAACTGGACTGTTGCGATCCTTAGGATTTTCAATGGGTGATTTCCAGAAGTAGATTATCAGCCCTTCCTAGCTGTTTCTTAGTATGGAAGCTCCACAGAAACTGATTCAGCAGCAAAGTAGCACACACTCCTCCACTGACAGGATGAAACTAGCAGCACTTGAGATGCACTCACCTGAGATTGAACCCAAGTCCCCAGCATGGATGGCTGAACCACAACCGTTCCATCGACATCACCAGTTGATGTTAGTACCGTCCAGTTGGCTCCAAGTCATAGCAACCCTGTACAGAGTTTGCAACAAGTGGCTGGTCGGTATGAACCTCATACCTTGTGGTTAGCAGTCCAATACTGATCGAAACCAGGACTCCAGACATCACCAGTGTAGATCTTAAACTTTGGAGCCGTAAGTCCTTTGGGGCAGATGGGTGGTTTTGCTTGGATAATAGCTCCCTCCTCTAGAAAACCTAACAGCTGCACCTCCCCTGGGGGCTAGGAGTACTTGCTTCTTGTTGTTGTTGTTAAATGGTGTCAAGTTGGTTCAGACTCAAAGTGACTGTATGGGGTTTCTGAGGAACGGCTGTGGTGGGTTTGAACCACTGACCTTTCAGTTAGCAGTCCAGTGATTATCCTACAGGGCCACACCAAGAGTTCAAAGTACTTCCTGCTCTCTAACCCAGAGAGCTTGCATATTAACGTAGTAAAACCACAGAGAATTATGTTATCCCTAAATACCATTCTCATTCCATTAGAGAACTACTTTGGCAATTACACATCTGCAACTAAAAAATTTCTTTTGATTTCAAGAAGATTCCTGACTCCAAGCACCCCATGCACCATAGTTAGAACTTGAGATGTGGTGGGCTCCCTTGGACACCTCACTATAAACTGGTATCAGTTGAACTTAGACAAAAAAGCCTATAACAAGGCAGAAAACCCATATTTACACAGGCTTCTGTATTCACGTTCAGACATATTTCCCTGTTTATCCCTGCGGTCCGTTCTCCACACAGAGTGATTATTCTTAAAAGGAAAATCAGGTCAGTCCTTGCCTCTGTTCTAGCCCCTCAGTGGTTTTATAGTGCCCTTATGATAGAACCCTTAAAGGACCTCCCATACTTGCCTCCTTTCCTAACACTATTTCAAGTACCTTCTTGCTGTTTCAAGGAGCTCTGGTAGCATAGTGGTTACGAATCAGGCTGCGAACCTTAAGGTCAGCGGTTCGAAACTACCAGCCGCTCCGCGGGAGAAAGATGAGGCTTTATACTCCTGTAAAGATTTACACCCTTGGAAACCCTGTACAGGGTCGCTATGGGTCGGACCCGACTCGATGGCACTTAACAACAACAACAACAACTTGCTGTTTCAGAACATAGCCAGCTTGTTCCCACCTCAGAGCCTTAGCATGCGCCGTTCCACCCTTCCCAGGCTCTCCTGTATCTTATGGCTACGTGAAGCCTTTCGCTGTGAATGAAGAATTCCTTAGCCCCTGTATTAGTTTAAGAAACATGACTTTGAGAATGATTGTTTAATGTATACCTTAGCCTGTGTATGGCACTCTTTTTTTTATGTCTGTTCAATATCTAGTTCTTGCAGCTATAAAAAACACCTTCACAGACCACTTACCCTCTTCATGCACATCAGTCCCACCTAGTCACAGCTCCTTTCCCTGACCACCTTGTCTGAAATAGCTTTCGTTTTCTTTAAGCGCTTACCAGTACTTGAGATAATGGGAAAGAACAGGACAGGGATCTCCTGCCTCTCGTGTTCACCACTGCCTCATAAAAGGTAGGATTGTTTTAGACCATTTGGGGAAAAAAGTGCTAGTGCACCCGGCATCCCCTCACCATGTCCACATTGAATTGAAGGACTCTTTTGGTAGTGCTGGTGGTGGTGGTAAGTGTTGTTGAGTTGGCTCCAACTCTTAGAGACCCTAAATAGGATTTCAAGAGAGCAGCTGGTTAGAACTTCCGACCCTGTGGTTAACAGTCCAGTGTTTATCCTGCAACATCAGACCAGGACTCCCTATTGGAAGTTATGGGGAGTTTCTATAATTTACTTGGCTATGGTTCTGATAAAATAAGGGGGAAATTCAGTTCTCATCTTAAGGGCTTTTGGAAGATTTACTTTTAACTGGAAAAAATAAAACTGAATACTTCAGATACTGGAATTAAAGGGTAGAAAGCTTAATGAAGTTTTTTGTTGTTGTTTTTTTTTTAAGTTTAAACACGCAAATGTCTTTAAGCCTTCAATTTCCTGAATGGACTATGCTCCAGATTCTAAAGCTACTTCTAGGTTTCCAGTATTTATAGTTCACTATTGCACATCAGTAAGGAGCTCTGGTAGCGTAGTGGTTACGAATTAGGCTGTGAACCGCAAGGTCAGCAGTTCGAAACTACCAGCTGTTCCATGGGAGAAAGATGAGGTTTTCTGCTCCTGTAAAGATTTACAGCCTTGGAAACCCTGTACAGGGTCTCTATGAGTCAGGACCGACTCCACAGCACATAACCACCATTGCACATCAATATCTGCTGCTTCTTTATATGCAGGAACTACAGAGTAAGTTACACTATGCCCAGCTTTCCTTGACCATATTTCACCAAGTACTTAACTCCACAGAGTTTTAGGCTGCAGATGAGCATGTATGCCTTCTATGTATTCTTACCATCATAAATTACAGAAACATCTCCTGTTGATCTACAATGAACATCAGAAAATTACCTCTCTACAAAAGAGATCTACGTCTCTCTTGATCTACAATGAACTTCAGAAAATTACAATGTTTTGTTAATGGTGCTTGTACCTCTACTATTACTGTTTTTCCTTCTTAGTAGACAATAGTTGCAAGTACTAGAGCATATCTCTCATCAGACCATTTTCTTCCAAAGAAAATAAAAGAGTAGGTAAAGAGCAATAATGTGATAAATGACTGCCAAAAGAAAGATTCAGGTCCCACCTTAATGTTGATACAAGTTTTTACTTGGTCCAACTTCTCCCTGCCCTCTGGCTTCTCAGACACATTAAATACAATATGCCAGATAAATCGTATAGACTGTTTATTTTGCAATTCCACCTCCACATTTTCTTTCCACAGATATTTATTGAGCGCCCACTCTATTTCATATAATTAAGAAGTAACTTTGTAAGTTCTTTGGAGGCAGTGTTGGAAATGGATTTCTGAGTTCCATCAGAACCTTATAGAAGTTCTTTCTCATTCTGACTCTTTGAAGATGCACCCCTCTTCTCAGTTCCATGACATCATTTATTTTGTCATTTAAGCGAATAGAAATAGAAAGTTTAGAAACGTATTCCAGCAGCACTTCCTACTGTGCCTACACAGATCAACTAAGATTGGACTAAAAGATCAATCTAAAT